AATCACTATTTCTAGTTGCGTCCCGCTCCCTTTTGGTAAAGGTGTTGCACTTGGCTTTCAGAACTATTGCGAATATTTATCGATATCTACTCCTTTGATTATTGGTGGCACTCTAGGTATCTGTTCTATCCGTTCATTTTGTTCCTTGAGCTGTTTCTGCAAGGTTAGTACCAAAGTTTGTAAATTAGAATTATTTGGAGTACCTGATGCTCCGTCTCCCGAATCATTTGGTATTCCTCCATTTCCTGAATTATCAAGCCTTGAACGAGGATTTTCCAGAGTCGTATTTACTGGTGGAGGGGTCTGCGTAACATTAGATAACCCATTTGCAAATGCACATAAAGCTTCACCAACTTCTTGAGCAATCATTTGCCTCAAGTTATCTTGCTCGTTAGTTTGCTCATCAACTTGTTGCCCATCGTTATGAGTAGTAGACCTTTTAGGAGAATCGTCTCGTGAGCATGGTGGGATTGCTGTTTGCGTATGGTGTGGTGGAGTTCCTCCTTGTGTTCTCTCTTGGACTCCCCCGTCCACCTGAATAATTTCGTTAGTAGTTGACATGCTTTGTTGCTAAAGATAAAAATATGGAAAGTAAACAGATTATCAGACTCCCGGTATTTTTGTGGTCAACGTCAATATTAAAGAAAATCGGGTCTCTAATAACCAAATTTACTTTACTTTTTGAAAAATGTGAGAATAATATAAACAATTGAAATGATAAATGAAGGAAAGGAATCTTATTGATGATCGTTATTTTTTCCCCAAAATTAAGGATTAGAATCTTCAATCAAATAGAAGTATAAAAGTAAAAGACTGATTGCATATATTTGAGAATATTCATATGATCGTACAGAATAAGGTACAGGCTCTTATATAAGGATACTTAGATGTAACAATTTTTCTTAATTCTTACCAATTACTAACATTAAATGCATTAACTGCCCGTTACTAAATCTACTCGAAACAATTATGGTAATAATAGGTGATCGCCATAATCAGGGATAATGTTGATTCCATTTCCATATTTACAAATAATTCGTGAATCTTTCCCTTTTATGTTCTTCATGCATCTCGTGCCTATTTCTTCTTTTCCAGCTATCAGGTATGGTACTTTCTTTCATACATCCCATGGGTATTTTAACTGTGCCTCAACATCCTTCTTAATTGACCCGATATAGGTGCCACCTGTCATCATACTATTGATCCACATGTCATGCTTATTTTTTTACCAATACAGTATGCGTCTTAGGCCGACAGATAAGCTAAGACATACATGATGTGAGACCCATTGATGGCTTGTACGCTTTGTGTATATTAAACTAAACTCTATTTTTTGCGTAAATATTTTTTTTCAATCATGTAAATATTATTTGATGATGAATATAATTAAACTTTAAAGGAGTTATTAATGGCCTATTTTTAGGCCAAAGCATACATTTATAGCTTATATTTACTTACTTGTAAATCAGCAAAATACAACAACCCCTTAAATTTATTCGCACTTTTCACTTAAAACTCTATCTTAAGTTTGTCTTATTTAAACACTTTAACTAGACATTTACTGTGTTATTTAGACACAAAATTAATAGCAGCAAAACATAAAAGGTGCGTGTAATTCACGCTCCATATTAACGAATAAAACATAGACACGTGGATTTAAGTAAAACAAAAAAAAATTACAACATAAAAAAACTAAAAGAAAAACAAGAGCCATCAGAAAAATGTTTTGGCCAAGTTCTTCTTCCATTCTCGTCAATCTTTCTCTATTTTAGTTAGCTTTATAGATCCAGAATTGCTAGAAGGTCTTTTTTTTTTTTATATATATATATCTTTTTTCGAATTTCTCCTCAGTTTGCTCGATTGAAGAAGGCTGTCAGTGCAATGTCGAAAAGAGCACGTGCTCTCAAATTTTTGCTTTTATTTGCCGATGTGATAAAAATGATGAACTGAAAATATCTAGGATAGAAGCAAACTCAGGTAGCAGGCTTTACGACTGCAAAATCGATCGAGATAGTGTTTTCACTAATTTTCTGAATCCAGTTGTTGCTACATAACCGGTAGGGAATTCACGGTGTCATTTTGTCGAAGCTCTAAAGTAGAAGAAGGACTATGATCAACACTTGTTTGGAATCCGCTTGCAATCCAGCATCAATAGGGACTTTAGATGAGCTCGGAGGTCCTTTAACACCATTCTGTTGCTACATAACCGGTGGGGAATTCACGGTGCCATTTTGTCGAATACCTTGTATGCTCAGAACAACTAAATTTTTTTTTTTGGATTGTCGTGGAGTTCGGCTAGTGAAGTCAGTGGGAGAAAGCTTAGACACATTTTCTATGACAGCAGAAAGCTTTTGGCGTTGGTTTTTTTTTATTTGGCTGTCGGAACTCCATTTCTGGCCAACTGAAGCTCCGTCGGTGTTCAACATAATGCCGGAGATGACATATTCGACAGTAAAATGGTTACTTACAGTTTATGAGTCAGTCAACATCACCAGAAATGATTTCTTGAAGATGCTTCAATCTATTGGTGACAAAATCAAAATTTTAATACAACTAGTGAACGAACTCTGGAAAAAAAAGTCAACGAACTCTGGAACCACCAAGAACACTTCGATTCACCTTCACTCGTTCGAAGCGAATTTAATAGCCCTTGAAATTGGAAACTAAATCAACTCCAACATTTTAACCGGTGGCAAAATTTGGAGTTGATATTAGACAACAAAAGTTATATTTTCCTGCAAGAAGTATGAGAAGTTCGTTTTCAAGACCATTTCACGCGCTCGACAAATGTGACTAACACTTACCTTGCCATGTCAGCTTTTTGTGTCTAAATGACATATTAAAAGCGCAGTTAAAGTGTTCAAATAAAACAAACTTGAGATAAAGTGTTTAAGTAAAAAACTTGGACAAGTTTAAGGGCAGGGCCGGGTTTTGGGTAAAGGCACTAAAGCCCCAGCTTTAGGCCACCGACTTTAGGGCCCCCCACTTTTTACCCTTTAATTTTTTTAAATTAAGTACTTTTACTCCTATTATATATTTTGGTAAAACTGAAAACGAAAGATGTCTTTGTTCTTTCAAAATAGGCCCCTGACTCCTAACATGTAAATGCAAAAATTTATGAAAGGAATCAAGTGATTATTCTTTTTGTTTAGTCTTTTTCTCATTAAATATTATGTAAACCTTTTCATTTCCTTTCTTGATTTCCACAATATTCTACTTTCTTTTTTAATCTTTCTCAGTTCTTATCAAACATTACTACTATTATATTTTTTCTTTGTGCCTTCAAGAGATCTCATGGTTATGTATTTTTCGTCTAACAAGCTAAAGCCTACAAGAAGTATATTCAAAGCAACAAAAATTTATTTTCACATCAAGTTAATGAATCAAGTTCTTCTATTCCAACTTTTTAGTATTAATTTTCATCTAACATTATTTTTCTTGATATTTTCAATACGTACACATATATTATCCCTTTAGTATTTTTTAAAATTTAAATATGTCAAATAGAAATTATGAATCCGGTAATTCAAAACTTAAGAAAAAAAGAGAAAAGTTGAATCTTTGATACAATCCCAAAAAGAAGAAATGATAGTACTCTAATCGATAAACTCAATCACATAAAAAAACTTAGACTCTTTTCCAAATGCTTATATTATTTATAGAATAATGATAACAGTTCCTAAAACAATTACCTCTGGCCACCCTCGATGACAAACTAGAAATTTAAAAGAAGTGGTTTAAAATTAAATTTGATAAAATCTTACTTAAGATCAACCATGGCGCAAGAGAAATTGAATGGATTAGCTATATTATCAATTGAAAAAGAATTTTCAGAAGAAATTGATTAAAAACAATTATTCATAATTTGCATCTCAAAAGCTAGAAAATGAGATTTCAAATAAATAATATACATATGAAAGTTTTTATTTTAGGAAAAAAAAATCAAAGGCCTCTTATGGAAGCTTAGCTTTAGGCCCCCCTAAAGTATTAAGTCACCCCTGTTTTAAAGGTTAAAATATCATGATATAGCCAGTTTTCACACTGGTCAATGAAAAAATAGCCAGCGTTTATCAAGTCAATGAAAAATAGCCACTATTTTGCTGCAACAGGGACCGGTCCAGTATAATATACGGGAGTTCTGGTGCATTTGTGTACGAACTCCAGCATATTATGCTGGACCGATATACTTTGCTAACTCCTGTAAAATTTGCGGGGGACTGGAGCACCAGTGCTCCAAACTCCAGTATATTATACTGGACAATTATACTTGCTGGAACTCCCGTAAAATTTGCGGGAGTTCCAGCATAATTATGCTTGAACTCCCGTAAAATTTGCGGGAGTTCCAGCATAGTTATCTTGGAACTCCCGTAAAATTTACAGGAGTTCAAGCATACTTATGCTGGAACTCCCGTAAAATTTGCGGGCGTATTTTTCCGGATTTTGAACAGTGTTTTCGCTCAGATTTAAAGTGGCTAAATTTCGATGACTTTTGAAACTTGGCTATTTTTCAACGATCTGTGGTAAATCTGGCTATTTTTGAATTTTTCCCGTTTTAAAGGGGCTGTCGATATATTTTGCCTTGTAAATGTGTGTAATATCCTTATAAATATAAATAATAGTGAAGAAGTAAAAATCATCAAATATTTAACGCGAACAATCATCACATAACACTTATAAATAAAATACACTTAACTTGCCAAAAAAAAAAAAAGAAAAGGAGACATATAGCGTGTGATATGCACGCGTGCCATGGCTAACAACTGTTAGTCTAGGTATTAAGCCCAGACTTTTATAGCGCATGCTTGCTAGCACTATATGTAATATTTTTTTTTTTTTTTGCACATTACTCTTGTTTTTTATTAGTCACAACCAAGCAAAACTTTTTTTTTTTTTAATAATTAAAATAATATTGCTGTTAGAAACCAACGTGAAACTTGAGTACATAGTTTGACCTGCGTTGATTGGCGGAAAATACAACATCCTCTCGCTTTCGCTGTAAAGTGGTCAGACGAGCAAATAGCTTTGACATTTTCACCTAGCAAATTTCAATTTCCACAAATGGGCACAGAAAAAACCAAAGAAACTTACAAAATTCTCATTTTTCAAAGGCAAAATATTGATCACAAAAGCAAACTTCTATTAAAATGGCAGCCATTTATTCCAAAAGCTTCTTCACGATGAAACAATTAAAGGTTCAATCTTTTAATTTTGAATCATTCAAATTTATCACTATAACTTATGGGTCTTTAAGATATAACAAAAAAACTAATGGGTCTTCGAGGACAAAACTGATACTTAGTTACAGTAGAAGTTTAGTGGAGAGTGATCAACTGCGGTGGGATGTACGGAAGCGAGCTATGGATGCAATTGAATCATTGGGAAGGAGGGTGACAGTTGGGGATCTTGCCAGCAAGGCTGGCCTTCAGTTGAGTGAAGCACAGATAGCTTTGCAATCTTTGGCTACTGATACTAATGGCTTCTTGGAGGTAAATTTCTGATCTTTTTTTATGTTTTGAGATACTAATGTTACTAATTTTGTATAATGTAACGTCAATTTGACTTTTTAATATCTGTGTAATTTAGTATGAATGATTATTTTCGCGCCAGCTTTCGTGCAACTCGACTATTGCATTATCCTACTATCACGTGTAGTCTGGTTAAAGACTTGTATGTTAGTTTAGGAAGAAATTTGAAATTTAGAGAACCTCTAGCTTGTTTTCAAAAATTATTTAGTAAGGCTAGATTTGCATGTCAATGTAGGATAAATTGCTAAATATAGAGAACCCATAATTTTTCTTAATAGAGAAATTATTTTGTAATGTAAGTTGGTTGTGAAATGAGATATTTGTAAGTTAATGTAGTGATAAATGAAATGTAGAGAGCCCTAATTGTGCTGTATTTTTTGATAAGTTTCACCGAGACTCTTCATTTGTACAACGGAATCCTCTTAATATTTACAGAATACTATGTATAATTAAACATTCAATTTTTTCATTTGACAATTCCCATGTTCAACTCTACTGTTGAACATATAGCGCATTACACGTACTCCACTATGTAACTATGTTATATTTGATTTTTTGGCTAATATGGTTTTGATAGGTGTCTGATGAAGGTGATGTCCTATATGTGTTTCCCGAGGGTTATCGATCGAATCTTGCTGCTAAATCATTTAGGATTAAAGTTGAGCCTTTGCTGGAGAAAGCAAAGGTGCTAACCCTCCCATATTGTTAGTTGCTGAATGCATTATATTGAATAGGTTATACCATAAAACTTATACTTTGAGCAAGTCTCAAACATTTTGCAGATGGCAGCAGAATATTTAGTCAGGGTTTCCTTTGGTACCACACTGATTGCTTCAATTGTTATTGTCTATACGGCTATAATTGCCATTGCCTTAAGCAGAGGGTATCAGATCTTCTTATATCTCCTTTTACTCAAGATTTTCATTTTTCCTCATTTAATTTCTTTTTTCACTTCAATGTTCTGTACCTGCATTTGCTTTCCTTACAGTGATGATGACATAAGCTTTCCAGACATTGGTTTAAACAACAAGGGAAGACGAACGACATCTTATGATAGTGGTCTGTTCTGGTAATTTTTTCATTTGACACTTTTTGTTATTGAAGAAGTAGCTGCTTCATGTTCACTTTTGTTACATCGGTCTATTTTCTTAAGTCGATTTAAAAGCCTGGCTTGTAGCCTCTTTTTGGGCTTTGGAATAAATTCATCTACAGTCTAGCAAGATTGTTAGCATCTTAGTAAAATGAGATATTATAATCCCATACGATCCCAAAAAGAATGATGGGATACGAAGGTTAAAGCATCCAATTTTTTCAGTATGAATTTTAACATTGATTACATATTCAGAGATTTCATAAAAGGCGCATTTACAGTTTCTTATCATGAGATTGTTAAAAAGAGTTTGAAAAAAGTGGAATCAATTCGATTCCCCAATTAGTAATAATATCTTATCTTTTAAAAGATAAAGGTAATAACACCAAAATATTTGTTTTTATCCTCTATGGGGAACCATGGTGCCTTGCCAAATGTCCTTAAAAGCAGATTGATAGGCATGATTTGTGAATCCACTCCTTGTTAAGTGTTGAACTATCTCGAACTACTAGAGAGGCATTGGTACCTTATTAGGTAGCTTTTCTTAGGGTAAGTTTTTAGCAAGCATGTAAGTTTTGGTAAGGTAGCAAGCATGTAAGTTTGTTCGACTTTTGTACTAGAGATTTTCAATTTCTTGGAGTTGTATTGGCAAGTTGTGGAATTCTATTCTTTATTTCATTTCCAATAAGCATGGAAGGATATGATTACCATAGAGCCAAGGATCAGTGTCCAGACTTGGTTTGAACACTTTTCACCGGGACCAAGAGATGTTGGTGTTCAGATGGGCTTGACTCTCAAGTTTAGCATTCTTCCTTTAACTCGTTTTTAACCCTTCCCCTATGCATTATGTGGAATATATGGCTGGAAAGGAATAGAAGTTGTTTGAATGGGAAAAAGCAACGCTTTCTGTTCTCAAATACAAAAGTATACAAGTGTTGGGGTAATATGTTGGACAATCCACCTTGTTTTGGAATTTGGGAATTCCCCAATGGTGCAGTTGTAACATGAAATTTTCTCCTCATCCTTTTGTTCTCTTGTATCTTTGCAGTACCTTCTTGGTACTAATTTCATTAATAAAATTACCTCACCTTATCAAAAAAGGTTTTTAACCTGAGATATCCTTCTCATCCCATCCCTCAAAAGCTTCCAGTTCTGCATGATAGATGATTAACTTCCTAATCTCTTACTTGATTGAAAAGAACTTCCTAAATCTGCAATCTTATCCGAAGCTGCCTTTTTTTATTCTACCAAGTAACAAATTTTATCAGCACTGGACAAAATACCCATACACAAGAAGCATTCCAAAAAGTAGAAAACCTCACCAAAAGAACGGTCCCGATCTTCTATACCTACAAGAACCTCGAGGGTGCACCAAAAGTAAATAAGGAAAAAGAGCTATTCTTTAAGTGTATAAAATCCTTCTCTATTCCATCAAATGCTCTCCTATTTCTCTCTCCAAACAGTCCACATGAGTGCTAGTGGAGCCAACCACGCCCTGTTCTCTTTTGTCTTCTAAAAGTCCAGCTAAACAATACTTCCTTGACCGTGCCTGGCATCACCATTGAAGACCAAACCATCCCAATATTTCCTACCACAAGCGAGACGCTATCCGGCAATGTAAAAGAAGATGATTCATGTGTTCGCCCGAACTTTTGCACATGAAGCCCCAACTGATACATGTTATCCTCCTCTTCCTCAAATTCTCCGCCGTCTTACTCCCTCGTAGCTAGCCAAGTGAAAAAACACACCTCTCTGCAAAGTTGCCTTTTATGGTATTTGGTAAAATTTTGATCTAGATTTTGTGGAGCATATCTCCAGTTTTAAACTTCGTATTTCAAGAAGCTTTGATTTGGAAACCGTCCACATCTTCGTTCTTAGAAGCTACATAGTATTTTGCTGTTCTAACTAGCATGTTATCAAGTTGAAAGATGCGGCATTGTATATTTTATCATGCGATAGAAAGGGGCACTGCGCATAGGGTATAGTTCAACAGAATATACAGAGATAATGATTAGACCAGGGACTGTCTTTAAGTTGAATAATCATTAGCTATTTTTGTCAAAATGTCTCTGCTTTTCTAGCTATTAAGGTCCTTAAGTGATTCTTAAATAAAAGACATTAGAATCCTCTCTCCTATCTTGATTTGGTTGCTCTAATTCTTATCAAGAACTCGCAGTTCTTTCAGTGCAAAAAAAATTCATTATTTATAACACATCTTAAAATTGTAATATGATACCATCCAATGGGATACTTCGATCATTTGCTTAACATGGATGAGCCTTAGGATGTCTTTTTCCTTTTCAAAATCTTGGCAATCATGGTTAGAAGCTTCAAGAAATAGGCACATATCTGAGCCATCTGACCCTCTTAACTTTCTGTTAATATTATTTGTTGACTTATCCAAAAATATAAACTTTGTTTAGGTGTTGGGATCCCAACTATCACAGGCGGCGACGAATACACAAAGATGGTGTCAGGATGAACTTCTTTGGATCTGTATGTGGGAAAAGCCATTTCCTCTTATGCTCTGTGTTTCCATCTGATTTTAAACGACTAATACTTGACACTCACTTTGCAGGTTTTCTCCTTTGTATTTGGTGATGCTGATCCAAATCAAGGTATTGATGAAGAGAGGTGGAAGTTGGTAAATTCTGAGTACTAAATTTAGTGGTTCGTTACTTTTAACATATCATTTCACACATATCTGTTTCAAAGTTTTCCCTTTTGCCCATCCTGCCATTGTTCCCACACATTGAGCTTACTTTATGCCAATCCCTACAAACGTGCAATTACATGGATTTTAGTTGCTTTACTTGTTAACAGTCAGTACTTTTCTATATAACCAGTTGCTCTTTGTCATACTAACAGTCACCATTGTCTGTAAAATCTGTTTGCAGATAGGACAATATATATTGTCAAATGGCGGGGTTGTCGTTGCTGAAGAACTTGCCCCCTTTCTCGATCTAAAGAATCCCAACTACATGGTACTTTGTGTGGTTTACATGACCTGATTTTGCTTTTCGATTATTGTTTTGTAACTATTGACAGGAATGGTAGAATTTTTCAAGTAGCCTTTTCGAAAACTGGCTTATTTTTTATATGAATTGAATTTTGTTCACTGGGTTGTTGTTGTTGTTGTTGAATTTTGCAAGATTCTGTATAGTGTGAGGGACTTGTTTTGCTGGTTCGGTCGTAGGTTCATTAGTGTATTCTTTTTATGTAAGTCTATTTCTTTACACTTCTTCACTTTGCTTGTGCACAGTTTCTGGGTGGTCACTTTTTATCCATATTTGTCTTCAAAAGTTAGTTTTCGGGACTTGCCAGGAAAAAGAAAACGAAGTGTGAACTGATCCAGGCACTGCCTTTTAATTATATTTCCTTTTCTTAGAAATTGATTCTTATGACTAAGCAATGGGACTTTTTGCACCAATGTTAGAAATCTCTCTTTTCTTAAATTACTTTTTTGTGTGTAATGACAGGATGATGAATCATATATCCTTCCGGTGCTGTTGCAGTTTGATGGTCAGCCAGAAGTAGATAAGGAGGTCTGTGACAAACGTTATTTAATCTTGTATCTTAATATTTATTCTTATCGGCATGGTTGAAGCCTATTACTGCTTGAAATGATCAATTTTGCCAATTAATATATTCATGGCTTCAAGGAATTTCTTGGATCAGTTGCATATTTTGAAACATCTAGTATAAGTTACCTTGTTAATTACTTATCAAAAGAAAAAAATTACATTAAAGTTTTTGAATGCTTAAATGAATTTAAGTTCTTGAAATTTGTGAATATTTGTACAGTATAATGTCATTAAACGGTATCAAGCACTAAACTTCCTAAAAAGAAACCCGGCGATTTATTTCACTTGTATATGGTGTCTGGTGTCGGTAGCTTTTTTTTAAACCCATTGGTATGGTTGGGAGGGAAAGAAAAAAATGGAAAACTTATTCAATTTCGAAGCGTTAAAAGATAATGTGGAAGGATGTCCGAGCTCTCCACTTTTGCGTCCTTACCAACAAGGGAATAACCTATATTTAGACAAACGACTTCTTTTTTCTTCTTCCCATCTCGTTCTCTTAGAACTCCAGCCAAACGTAGTGTAAGTGTTTAAATACACATCATTTATCTTCTATTCTGGTCCTCATTTCTCAAATTTCATTTCCAATTTATCTTTAAATGGTTATTCTAGATTCTAGCACAAAGAAAACAAAAGAATAAAGAAAAAAAATATAAGATGACTTCCCCGACCAACTAAAATGGTAAAACTAGTTAATTTGTGTGGTTGTATATGTTGGATTTTGTGTTTTGTTGTTTGCCGACAAGTTTAGGGGCCAAATACAGATATTTGCAGTTATTTCAAGGGGTCTATCGGGTCTGGGGAGCTGTTGTACAAGAGATACTTTAAATAGCTAAATGATGCAAAAATAATAGTTCAGTGTTGAGTGAATGAATTCATGGTGGTTGTGAGGCTTTTTATGCCTTTTCCCTGTGTTGTTTGCAGAAGAAAATTGATTTATACTCCAAAAGGTTCTCTCCAGCCTTATCTTGTATAAATTGTATTTTCAGGGAAATATTCTGTATCGATTCCCATCACTCCAGCGTACAGCTGCTCGCCAATGGAGTGGAAGGAAGGAGTTTGTAGGGAAAATATGGCCTAACTGGGATGGACAGGTTGAGAAATATCTGAAAGAAATAAAGTGGCAATTTAGGTACATATTCTCTTGGTTGTGGATAGTTGAAATTTCTTACATATAGTTTGAAGTTCCTAACATGGGTGTTCCACAATGAAGTAAAGCTAGTGTATCACAAGCAGCATTGGTCGTTGGTTTGGGTGTGCTGAATTTACTTGGAGTTATCATTCTTGGAACCATGTTGAGGTATGGTTCTTTTTAATATTGTTTTAGACTTTTTAAGGTTCTCATTTACATGTTCTGTAACTCTTCCACTTGACTGTATTTTGAAGGAGCATGACTGTTAGTCCAAGTAGCTTCATTTCGTCAGTGTCCAAGTTATTTCCATTACTTCAGGTAGTGTTTTCATTCAGCCGACTTTGTTAAGTGCATTATCTGGTCCAATTGATCTTTCACGCCGTTTATTTAATCACAACATAATTAAAGGAAATCTCAGGCTATTGGAAAAAGCTCGTTGCTTTGTTTCCATATTTTTGGAGTTATTCATTTCATGGAAATTTAATTTCCTTTAATCTGGACATGAAGTGCTTTGTTTAGCTTACATTGTAACCTTTTTAACTGTGATAAAATATTTAAATACCTCGTGGATTGTGATGACTTGAACCTCCTTATGATGGAGCCTGAATCTCGCTATTTTCTATTTGTGAGAGCAACATTTATTATTGAGTGACCTCCGAGTTATGGTGGCCAACTTGAATGACTCTTATGAGACAGCCTGTATTCAATTTGCTTTGCAAAGGTAAATAAGTTTTTTAACTGCTAACTTCAAATCTGATTTAGTTGCAGATTTACGCTGGCTCGTTTTTCACCATTCCTTTTGTTCGCTGGTTGCTTGTTCGAAAAAGAAATTCTGAAATTGAAAAGAGGAATCAAGCGAGGGAACAATATGCCCAAGCACTTGAGCGTCCCGATTTCTCACTAAGGCGGAAGGTACGAAGGTTCAGCTGGTTCGCTTTGTAATTTTTTTGGCCACCTCTGAGCTTTCAATTTTCTGCATGTTTGGTTAACAGTACAGGTTTAACATCTATACTTGGGAAAAGCTGGCTAAGTAGTTCATCAAAAGTTTGGTCTAATTGCTCTAGAACTTGAATAACCAGATCCCCCTCTTCCTTTTAGGAAATAAGCTTTAACTTAGCACTTTAACTTGTTCTGTTAAAATGAGATTTTGCTAATTGTTAGAAATCCCAGACTTGTGGGATTACACTGGATTTGTTGTTGCTAATTGTTAGAAATGTATGCACATACACCTATTTTCTTTTCTTTGATAAGCCAGGACGTCTTTCACTAATATCACGCAAAGAAAGAGTCGACATAACAATTGGTGTATTGTAGGTATTCGATAAGCCTCCGAGATAACTAGTCAACTATCTATACTACAAGAAGGTAAATTCTTATTGAATCATAAATAAATAAATAAAATAAGAGGATTTTGATCCTTCGAAAGTTTCCAAAAATTCAAAGAGGAGCTACCTTTTTATGTCCTGGAAGGTATCCCCTTAGGGCATACCTACTTTCTATGGGAAAAAATTAAACAAGTTCCAACTAACAAGATCTTTAAAAAGTGGAAGACTTCTTTTGTAACTCAACCGGTTTACTGCCGTCTTCCAAATTCAATTTGGTCTGATATGAAACACTAAAGCATTATCAAACTTTATTTTCTCCTTTTTTTTATAAGTATTGCACTTTCGATGGTATAGATTAATACCCTTCGTTTTATGCAAACTTTAACATGTCTGGCTGCACCTTTTGGTGACTGATCTGGTCAAGCATTCGGGCATGTCACTATGAGCACTATCCAGAACAGCCTTTTCTGATAGTACGTGCTTAGTTTTTGTCTCAAATTAGATTATCATTTGGTGATCCAGCCAAAAAGTTTACAATGGTAACTATTAGGTAGCTTGTACATAATAATTGCTGGAAATGGTCGATTAAAATCAACTCTGTATGAGGATTCAGCTCAGATGCTGGAAGTGCATGCATAAAATCTGTAGTAAAAATTGTATGTGCACATAGCTTATAACGAAATATCAATTTTTCTAGTGAAACATAAGTAAATGTAAGAAAAATAAAGGTATGGACTATGTCACTTATTTATGTGGTATATTGTTTATGCTTAATTATAAATGAGAGACCCTTGGTGAGTAAATCCTGATACATTTTATTTACAACTTACTATTTATGTTTGGTATAAAGTCTCTTCCTTGTAGTAACTCTCACTTCATTTTATCGAACAATTTTCAGCTTTTGAGTGCTCGAGATATGGCTCAAAGAACTTTTATTGGTCAGAATCGAATTGTTTACAGTACAAATAAGGACTTGTACGAGCAAGATTATGATGCCCAACAATGGGAGCAGGGATTCGGTGAGTTAGAAAAGTCTGAATAGATTGCAATAAAAACTATGCCTCAGTACCAAGTTAGTTGAAATTGGCTATATGAGTTCTCATTATTCATCTCCATTTTGGCTCATTTCATTCCATTAATCAGAGCACGTTCCGCCATATTCTATGTTGTGAAGATTCACCATAACGATTAGTTTTGTGCTGTCTGCCAACGTACTGCAACTCTCCTCTTTTATGAGGGCGCGGGTTGCTGGATAAGCTCACAGAAATGGAGTTTCTGAATAGATTGTATTATTGTAAATATTGTTTCCTTTTGGGTATATCTTCATATACAGGAATAGGACATCAAGTGATGCGTTGTGCTCCAGCATCAATAACTGAGGCATCCAAGCTGCAAATGGATCAACTGTTATGCCACTTTGTATATTCCATATGCTTAGGTAAAGAATTCATCCATCCAAAGTATAATAGGTTCTGATTCCATTGACAGCAGGGATCCTCTTGGTCTCAGAACTAGAAGATTCAAGGGAAAATTCATCATACTATTTGTATAGTGGAGTATAGAATTTTTTGTCTACTAAGAAACAATTTTTTGGTTTTCGAATGTGTATGTTCTCACAATTTGCTTGCCCCTAACTCAGTTTCACTTGGTGTCGCTTACATATTCTAATAAATGTCTTTTATTCAATTAAATAAGCAGATGTATTAAAGGAAATCGAGCAGCCTGCCAGTTTGTAGCTAATTTGGTTTAGTAAAATAACTTCTTTTTTTCCTGGGAAATAATGGGTATGTGAAGCTTTTCTTTAAATCAAATTACTTGGTGTTTGGTAAGACTTGGATTAAAGGGATTAGATTACTTAGTCTTAAGACATTATTGGTGGCCTAGAGCTCATTGTAAAAGGATAATACACGACTATAGAAAATTACTTAGGTGAAAATTAACTTATTTCATTACTTATCCGCTTTTCATTTTTGTTGTTTCTTTTTAAAACAATACCTGATTAGCTGAACGACTGAAATTGAATGAGAAGTTAAAGACTGGAAAGATGCAGTTTGTGCAACTGCACAATACAGTCTGAGAAGAAAAATAAACTTTGATGTCTCTTTAATATGCAAAGATGAGAACATATTTGATCTGGTTTACAAAATCATGACATTAACAAACACTATTACAGGGTCCTTTATCCTCAGGCTACTGGCACTTCAGCCATTTCCTGTTCCACTGCTGCTACTTCAACGGGATAGTAGTTGTAATGGAGTTCTCCAACATCGTCACCTGATAGCTTCTTCCATCCATTTGGTCCGACATGATAAACTGAAACGAACCACAAAGTTAACGACCAAATACACAAACATCATGGAGCAAAAATACAACAGATAGAACGGAAATAGCCACTTAAAATTGTACTTCCTCTTTTTAAGGATGAGGATGCAAGAAACATACCACTAGCAACACCTCCACTAGCTCCATCACGGAACGTGGCATGATAAATTGCTCGTCTAGCTAACTCGGCTGCTTCTTCCACGGACAAATCATATCGGTACCTAAAGTGAAACAGCACAGGGAGAAAATATTAGATTTAGAGAGAAGGCAAGAGTTCAGTGGTTTCCTGAAGTTAACGAATCAGAAGCATGAGCTGTAAGCTGCAAAAGTTTTGACCATAGCATTGTCACAATAAACTAAGGAGACATTTCGAAAAGGTTGTAACCTCCCCCCCCCCCCCCAAAAAAAAAAAAAAAAAAAACTTGGCCTCCACGTACTGAATGCATTTAGACCTTGGTGACACGACACAACTTTCTCTCTTTCAGAAGACACTGAGATCAAGTACGGCCAACAGGTAAATGCATCTGCACCTCGTGCATGCAGTCCTTTGCACTTCAATATGCACAAGCCACATATCAAAGACTGAGTTGACTATAACAATGTCTGAAGGTTGCTTTTTGTCATATAGATAAGATGAAACTAGTTAACAATCATTCTCAAGCAGATACTAGGGAAACCATGGAAATGCTGATAGGAAAACGTAGAAGAAAGCACACACCCATTATCCAAAACACCATAAGCATAGGGTGAACCAGATCCAACAGAGAATCTGGTTCCTTTAAGCCGTCCTCCCTCACTATCCACATAATATAGTCCTGGACCCTGCACAATCAAGCTTTTATATTAGTAAGAAAACAGGAAACATTTTACGAACTGTACCAGCTTCCGTCTTTCAATACCTTCTCATCCCAACCCGCAATCATAGTTCCAACAGACAAACCCATTCCGCGATAAGAATACAAAATATTTGCCAGCAGCTTTGAAGCTCCAGTAACTGAAATTCTCCTTTTGTTTGCCAGTTCATGCAAACGGCACTGAATCACAAAAAGGAAACAGGTGACCAAGTTTTACCAAGTGCATGAAGCCAAATTCCATAATACTATTTCTGCTTATGAAGATCAAGAACTGCAGAACTTTCATCTGTAATGGGTCAGGAGGAGGATATATAGATGTGTTATATATATCGATAACCCCCCCTACCCCCCCCCCCCCCAACCCCCCCCAAAAAAAAAAAATAAACATAGTTGGACTTTAACTTCGGGAGACTTTAATATGCAGAGTGAAAGATGGCCCAAGAAATGTAAAAGACAAAAATCCTTGGGGGCTTAGCCTTTAAGAAAATAAGCGGGAAGAAACTTTCAAAGAAGTGGTGGGCTAACAGCGGTGGAATATAACATTTTCCCAATTATCGTTTCCCTCCCCAAATCTAACACCATTTAATAGCTGTCATTTCTTTCTTTTTACCCATTCAATCTAGTCACATTTCCATTCTCATTATTAGCTAACTCCTTTTTTCTTTCTTTACCTTCCTCATCTTTTTACTTTAGAGGGGAAGAAGAGACATACCCATCCTAAATAAATATATGCCATCAGAAGCATTAAAATTCTCTAGAGTACATAGATCTGTAATGCGGAAGAGACCAGAATTGATCTAGATCAAGTATTCTCCTGGCAAAAATGGGTAAATGCAGCAACTTGGAAAAGGAAATGGAGTACTTCATAACCACATACCTTGATTCCCAAGTTTCTGTGCCAGAATTGGCAGTCAGCAGCCCCACCAGCCATTGTGCCAAGCATATATGGATTAATTTCAATGATTTTCTTCACAGACTGAGATGCTGCGAAATATTAAAAAGAAAAGAACATATTTCTCAAAAGGACTAGCCAAATCAATAGATAATGAAATAACACTTAAAAGAGTATTTGGATCCTCCAAAAGAAGTAGAAATCCAACTACCTAAAATTTGGAATTCACATTCCTCTAATGAAGAACTTGACACTCAGATATGGAACATACAAAACTAATACATACACATGTCTCGTGCAGCATAAGTCCATAAGACCACAGCACAACCATACAAAAACGGAAGATAATTAAAGTTTTCTTTTCAGGTACGCACGAAATCAGGTTATGTCTCTATTTATCCACACACACTGCTTAAGGTACTAATTCCAAGTTCTAGCCATTGTACCAATAACCTTAGTGACATTGACAACAAAGCTACTCGAAAAGGTATAGCATATGACACAGAGATATACTTGAATAAGCCATTGATGAAAATTTTGTAGAATGTGGATACTTTTGAACCCAATAACATTATGCTGAAACCGGGTAAATACAGCTTCACATGTATGCAGAAAAACTCAAACATGAAAACAATTAGGTCTTGCATGTCCCTTGAACCGTTGATTATGGTTATAGCAATTCCATATCAAGTCATTTGACAGAGAGCAGGATCACAAGATCCATAGACAAATCGATGCTTCATAACAGTAGCAGGGTTGACAAGTAATTACTAATTAACGATTTTCTTCACATTGTTTATCATAAAGACAAAAATGAGCGGAAGTGTTTACATATATATCCTCCCATGCTAGCCCGAGAATCAGCAGCAACCATGACACCTTCTTTAAAAATGAAAGCAAGGGTTGTGGTTCCCTTCGCAGGCTTCACCATTTGGATTGCTTCTTTTTGAAAACCGTCAAACTGAAGGAACACACAGGATAGAAAAAAAAGGAAGCATAGTTAGAGATTCAGGTCTCGATAGATTCCCAATTAACAGAATATAGTTGGTCACACAGAAAAGTAGTCAGACTCACATTAGTAGTGTTAGGAATCTGGAATGACGGAGAACTAGGAATGTCATCAAACAGCTCCGAAGACTCCCCTCGAAGTGGGGCAGTCGGTTCAAGTCCACTAAAATCGATCTTCATCATTGAAAACCTTTAACAACAATAATTGATAAATCAGATATGTTCCACTCTGTAATACTTATCAATCTCGGTAGAGAAACAAATTGAGTAATTATTAGAGAACTTAACTAACAAAGTTTTCCAATGTACTAAACTTAACTCAAGGGCCTTTATGTACAGCCTCAATTGGATTAAAGGGATAAATCAAATTAACTGATATCATATCCTGATATTTCAGAGTTAGAATCCAAAAATGGTTGTGGATAATTGTAGGGCTGGATGTAGGCTTTAAGATATGGGTGCGAACCGATTGGCTTTGCCCAAACTCAATATATGTGTTACGAAATCCATTGACTATGTACAAAAACTAAATTCAAAGCGCAGTTACTAGCACTTGACACAGCTGTCCTAGAACCCAAATCCCATGAAGTTCAAATCCTAAATCTGCCTTTGGTATACTTTTTGTTCAAGGACAAATCTAAAAATTATCTACCCCATCAGGTTATTTAAAATCCAAATTTAAGGTACCTGTATCTACAGTAAGCCTGAGTTGATAACCCGGAAAGTAGAATAAAATAACCTCCTACAATCAGTTAAACTATACGTGAAAGTTCTTCTAAAGCATCAATATATATAATTCAAATCCTTTCATGAATAACTTGACATTATCACTTTCATCTCAAATGCTGAATATTGAAAAACTCAAAAAGCATTAAAAAAAATTCCCTCTTTTATGGCATTATTCTCTTTTTCTTTCTGTGATTCTAAGAAAAGTTATCAAAACATCGATTACTAGAATAGGCATCTTACTACACCACCACAAATTGGGGCTATTATATAGAACAAATATATATTTCTCGAAAAAATTCAACAATGTATATAGTTCGAGTTGAAGATAGTGGATGCAAACTGCTGCATGAAGCTTATATAATGAAAATTAGGGAACTTACAATTCAATTTAGCTGGAGAAAGAGTTCGTGAGGAATTCGCCGGAGAAAAATGAATAGCAATTTCTTTTGAAGTGGAAAGTATCAACTTGCTGAAGAAGAAACACTGATCAACTTGGAATGGGGCCGAAACGAATCGCAGTTTGGGCCAAATCTATTCGCTAAAGTAATTTGGGCTTGTAACTTAAAAATAAGGCCCAAATTCTTCGATCGAACGGGTTCCGATTGAGGCCCAAATCATCCTCCTACTCATCCTTAAATTACTCAGTTTGGCCTTTGAGAGCAAATATGCTACTAAAATTAGTAAATTCATAACATACGACCAATATTAACCAAATGCTACCAATATTAGCTCAATTGGCTAATTATATGTCTAGTAAATTATGGTAGTTGCTCGGGAGAGAATTACGACACTCAGAGTGCTCATGATCGGTAGAGAAGACTTAGACAAA